CTCTTATCTGTGGGGGATATGTCCCCAGACACCCAGTGGATGCCTGAAACCTTGGATGATACCAAGCTCTATATATACTATGTTTTTTTCCATACATACGTATGTATGGTAAAGTTTAAGCACAGTAAGAGAATATCCTAATGACCGGCATCACCAGCATTGAACTTTAGAGCCATTATTAAGTAAAATAAGGGCTATTTGAACATAAGCATTGCGATACCGACAGTCGATCTGATAACCCAGAAGCTACTAAGTATGTGGGTATCATATACAGCATAGATATGATGGAGGAAGGGTGACTAATGTTCTGGTGGGATAGCACAATATTTCATCTCACCACTCTGAACCGCATACAGTTTAAAACTTAGAAACTGTTTATTTCTGGAATTTTCCTTTTAATATTTTCTGACCTGCTGTTGACCATTGGTAACTGAAACTGGATAACGGGGTTCCATTGTATTTGTAACCATGATCTGACATTTTCCTTTTTTTTTTTTAATTATAAAACAAGGTATTTAACTGTGAACATTAAGGTTTTTCTGCTGTTATTTTACATTTGTATTTTTTTTTCCAGCCAAATCGTTGTGATAAAGTCTGGTGGGTGGGTAATTTCAAACGAGTAGAAAGAGGCAGGCTGTGAAACCGAAAGAATGCCAGTCTGGGCGTCAGGAAATATGGATTGTAGTTTTGCCCTCTCTAATTGCCCTCTCTAATAGCCACTGGCCATGGGCGCTATTTACATTTAAATTATTGAAGATAAAATAAAAATTTTATCCAGTTTCTCAGTCACACTGCCCATATCTGACATGTTCAATAGCCACATGTGGCTGTCAACTGCCATAATGGACAGTGCAGATTGTAGAACATTTCCATCACTGCAGAATGCTTTGTACAGCTGTAATCTAGTCTGTTGTGTGATACTCATTCTTTGACCTCCAGCAAATTCCTTAACTCAGGGTTTCTTAACCTCAGCACTACTGATATTTTTGGACAGATAATTCTTGGTTGTGGTGCGCTGTCCTGTGCATTATAGGGTTTTTAGCAGCATCCCTGATCTTTACCCACTAGACACCAGTAGTTTTCTGTCACTTGTACAACCAAAAATGTCTCCAGACACTGCCTAATGTCCCCTGGGGAACGGACAGTCACCCCGGTTGAGAACCACTGCCTTAACTGCTTTGGGTTTTAGTTTCCTCCTCAGCTAAAGGGTTTGGATTTTACTAAAAGGACCCTCCCCTTCAGCTCTGACATCCAATATGTCCAGAACCACCTAGCTGCTTCTCTCATCAAGCACCACTTTCTTTTTCTTTTTCTTTTTTTTTTTTTTTGACTGCACCTTGTGGCTTGCTGGATCTTAGTCCCCTGACCAGTGTCCTATTTGATATGTTCCTCAGAGTATGTGTTTCACAACTTGCTCAGGGACAGAGGGACTTATTTGTGCTTCACCTGGGAGCTTTCTAGTGTCTCTGTTTATAAAGACACTGATCCTATTGGATCAGGGCCACACCTATATGACCTCACTTAACCTTAATTACTTCCCTTATAGGCCCTATCTCCAAATACTGCCACTAGGGTTGTATGAACTGGGGGGTGGGGGGGGGGACGATTCAGTCCATAACGTTGATCATTTTAAAAAGTGATCACGTGTAAAACACTGTCTGCCTTATTTGGGGGGAGGAGGATTTGGCCCTTGTACATCCCTCATCTCATTTATTTTGCGCAGCTGCCCTATGAGCTAGGTAGTGTTACCCCATTTCACAGATGAGGAAACAGAGGCTCCTTGAGGGTAAGGAATCATCCCAAGGTTTTGCAGCTAGAACCTGGATCTAAAAACTCAGGTTCTTCTGTCTCAAAAGGCTTCCCCATTACAATGAATGGTTTTCCCTTCCAAAAGGGAGAAAAATACTTAATAAAATGTCATACTTGAACACCCCCATGGTAGTTTTAACTGCCACTTCCTGTTTTCTGGAAACCATCTGTCTGCTCGAGTGGCAGAACCAGTACTGCATGGGGTGCTGGAGTGAGGGGTTAAAATTCCTAATAAGAGGAGGGTGTTTTATCTTGATGACAGGCGTCTCAGACACTAAAAATGCAGAGATGGATGCTTGGCTCGACTGAAGGACCCCAGACTCTAGACTCTCAAGACCGGGCTGTGTTAGGTGACCAGGATCTGATGGCTAAATGTGTGAGCCTGTTGTGCACAGTCCTAGAGAGGCTTTACCCCACAGCCTGGCTCCAACACACCCACACAGCTTTCTCAAGGATAAGGCCCTGAGGCTAAGATTTTAGAATGGCTGTGGCAGGTTTTGCGGGCCCTGGAGTCAGGGGTTATAGTCCCTGATGAGTCCCGAGGACAGGAATGGTGAGACCCCAGGCCCTGCTCTCCGGGAGAGTCTAGCGTGGGGGAGAAACGCCAGGAGGCGTTCTGATAAGTGTGGTGGGTGCTCCCTCGCTGCGGTGACAGGGCCCTCACTGCAGGCTGGGAGAGATGATGCCCTTCGTGGTGACCAGGGATGGGCTCACTGGCAAGTCTCTGGTGTTCCTGAACTTTGAGTTCCTAAAGCCAGCAAATGGAGGTGTCCAGGCCCCGTGCCCTGAGAACACCGAAGCCCAAGGAGGGGCTCCAGGATCAGAGCTCCTGAGGGATGAGTCCCTGCCTGCTGGGGAAGGCAGGGTGGGGCGGGTGGCGTGGGGAGCCAGGATCCCTGGGGCTCTGTGATCAGATCAGGGTTGAACTGCTGAGTTTGACCTGGCCTTTTGGAGCCTGCCACCTCTGTAGGGAGACACTGTTTATTACCAAGTGACTTCAGGCAGATTTTGGAGTGTGGGTCAGTATTCCACCCAGCAGATTGCTTCACCCAGGGGTCACAGGCTGGCAGCCAGGGGCCGTGTCCTGCTGGCAGACCTGTTTGTTTGGTTTGGCCTGGATTGCAGGATATTTTAAATCAAGAAATTTCACAGTGAAGTTCAGGTTTCTGGCTTCTATTACAGAATGGGAAGATATGGCTCTGTGCGGCCCACATTCCCATGTAGCAGTAGGGGACCCAGGGGCCCACCCTCTTCCCCCAGCCAGGACATGGGCTCCCCAATTTGCTTCCTGTGTTGGGTAGGTCACTACAGCCTGTCTTACCTCCCTTGGCCTTCTTACTTGTGTCTCCTTCTTGGCTCCTGTAAGCATTTGAGTTTGTGACCTTGGGTTTAACCTCTCTGTGCCTCAGTTAACTCGTCTTAAGAAAAAATTGCACTTTGAAAACATTATGCTAAGTGAAAGAAGCCAGTCACAAAAGGCCATGTATTGTATCATTTCATTTGTGTGGATTCATAGGCAACTCCACAGAGACAGTGTAGATCAGTGGTTGCCTAGGGCTTGGGGGAGGGGGATTGGGAGGAAATGGGGAGTGACTACTAATGAGTACAGGTTTTCTTCTGGAGATGATTAAAAAAAGTCTAAAATTGATTGTGGTGACACTTGCACAGCTTTGTGAATATACTAAAACTCACTGAATTAATTGTACATGTTTAAAGAGTGAATTTATGGCATGTGAATAATATCTCAATTTTAAAAAATAAGAGTGCCTGTAGGTTGTGTTACAGTTGACGGAAGCACTTATTCAGTGGTCTATTGTCACCTGAGATCCAAACATGCCTCCTGCTGTCTCCTTTACAGTTTTTCCACTGATTATACCCAGTGGATGCTCAGTATATTTTGCTACTTAACTAACTCTTGGGCCTTTCCTCAGAGGCAGATGTTCCGCTTTTCCTGTTTAGTTACTGGAGAGTAGTGAGCAAGTGGAAACCAGGTTACTTAAATACTCAGCAAAGCAGATGGAGGAGATGTTTGCCTGCCAGCTTCTGTTTGGGAAATCACTGCCTGGATATGTTGCCCGATTACAGCATGTCACATAGAGAACTGGGATGGTTCATTGGACTTGTCAAGAAAAAAATGGCAGCCCGAAGTCCAGGCTGGAATTTTTACAGCATAGGAATAAACACAACTCTGGATTATCTTTCTGTCCTTCTTGGAGCCAGGAGCAAAGCAGGTTCTCAGTCAACAGTTAATGAATGAATATGATCTTGTTAGGTGTGTATAACATCACGGTTTGATTCTGATTTTGCACTAATACTGTTACATGAGCATATGCAGTACAAAACAAATTATGTGCATTATTTTATTTAATTCTCTAAAAATAGTACAAAGCCACAGCCAAGACTGGCTCCTCTGAAGACATAGGAATGTGCGTGCAATGGCAGAAACCTCTGCCACCTCCTGGCCGGGCCATTTGGACATCAACACATGAAATGAGATAGGGCTAAACGAAATAATGTGTGTAAAGTGCCTGGCACCCAGTAGGCATCCAACAGGTGGGAGCTTTGATGTTTGAAGAGAGGATAATGTAACATGGTAGATTTCAGACCTGGTGTCAGAAAAATCTCAGTTTGATTTCTGCACCTCCCATCCATAAGTTGTGTGACCTTGTATGTTTCGTAACATCTCTGAGCCTCATTTCCCCCCACCTGTAAAATGGGTATTATAGTACCTAGCTCTGTGGCTTATTTTAAGGTTTAAATGAGATAACACGTGTAAAGCATCCACCACATTACCTAGCATGTAGTAAGGCAAAAATGCATGGAGAAAGCTGCACTTCAGTTGGGGCCTGAGTTCTGCACAAGGGAAGCACCCTCTGTAATTGGGTGTGTGCACTTTGCAGCTGACGTGCTTTAAGAAGATGGGCGGGAGGAACTGGTGTACAGTTGAGGGGGCCTGGGCTTTGTAGGTGCCAAGGTTCAGATCCTCTGTGACCTCAAGAAAGGGACTTGGTTTCCCTGAGGCTCTATTTCAAATCTAAATGATGAGATGATAATAACTACAGAAGGAGGTTGCTGTGAGGAATAACCAACCCCTGGAATACTTAGAGTGTGTTCCTGGGAAGTGGTCAGCTCCCCAGTCCTCATGCAGCCTGTGGTTGTCCCCGAGCTGCGTTACAGAGGCCGAGGGGCCCAGTGCGGGGCTGTGGTTTTGTTGCTGAGACGAGGCCCCAGGTTCTCCTTGGGTGAAAGACACATCCTGGCCTGTCTGTGGCTCCTTCGCAATCAGGGACAAGGTAGTCGGTGTGGCACTTGGTGAAGTTGAGAGCAGGGTAGAGAGCTTGGAGTTGGCCAGCATTGGGCGTTGTGCCTCCTGGGGAATGGGTGTCGCTGCCATCCTGCGACACCTCTGACTAGTTGAGAATGGAGGCTCTGAGCAATCTCTAGAGGATACTTCGTCAGCCAGAGTTTTTAGAGAAATGAAGCAGAAGCCGATCTCTTCTCTGGGACATAGAACAGCGATGCGTGTGACCCTAACGTCAGCAAAGGTCACCGGGACTTGTGATCTGGGCCAGATATTAACTTCAGAACTAGTTGAGATCCCCCAGCTGTGGCTCACAACGTGGAGATGAAAGAGGAGACGGGGTGTTCTTTTGAAGAGACACTAGCCTGGAACTGGGGACGCCCGGATTTCAAACTTCACTTCCTCTGCTTCCCTTTGTAGTTGCTTTTTCTCTCTGCCTGTGCCCTGTGGAGAGACCAGGTCCTGCTGACGGGGGCTCTTTGGGGCACCCCCAAGGGGTTGGTTCAGCCCTAGGCAAACGCATGTCAAGTCACATCCTGGCATCGGCATCTGTCCCCAGCCACGGCCCTGGGGACCTGGTCCTTCTCAGTGTGCGTTTTGAGATCCTGGTAGTGGTGCCCTTTGTCCCTCCTAACTTGAATAGTAAACTAGGGGTTAGGCCCGTCCAAGTACAGTTCTGATTTACCCAACAGGTTAGGTGTAGATGAGCAGGCCACCCCTTGTCACCAGTACAGCAGCGTGGGGCTTTGCCCGTGTTTCCCTACAGCTTGCCCTGCGGCCCCGCCTGCCCGCACAGATGGGTCCCTGGGCAGATGCTTACTGATTCCTCACTTACTGTGTGGGGAGCTCTAGACGCGGGCAGAGGGCTGGCGCTCAAGAGGCAGAGAATCGTGGCACCAGTCTGTCCTCAGGGACTCTGGCCTGGAGCTGTGGAGCTAGAAACATGAAACACGTGAGAAAAAACCCGTGACATTCCATGGTGCAGTGCTGGGCACAGACTGCGGGGTGGCCGAGTCCTTCAGCGTTCAGAGGAGTGGTGGTCCTTCCTGGGACGGTCGGGAAAAGCAGGGGGCTGGATGTGAACTGGACTTAAGGCTGGCTAGGATGTGGAGGGGAGCGGGAGCTTCCCCATAGAGTGGAATGGACAGGAAGTGTCCAAGGAGTAGCATAGCAGGGCCCAGTAAGAAGCCCTTACTGGAGAGGAAAGTTGTGCTGGGCAGCTGAGCAGTGAGACTACAGAGGTCAGCCGGCCCTGTCTTGATCACCCTGACTGTCAGGTAGAGAGCGTGGGCTCGGGTCGTGGGACAGGTCTTCCTGCTGTGGCCCCAGGGGTGACCCACAGGGCCAGGCACAGTGCTCTGAGAACTGGTGGTTTCGGTGAGAACATGTTCTCAGGGTTTCCTTCTACAGGGAACCACTGTTTGTCATTGTCTCGCTCTCCTGGACACTGATAATATTCTTCCTCCAAGAGCAGATAGAGACTTGGGGTTCCAGGCCCTCGGGAACTGAATGGACCATTGTATTTGTAGTGGCCTGGGGTGCCCTGAGTTGCGTCCTGGTAAGATTCGGGGTGGGGGGACCTTGCAGCTGGTGTAGAGCGAACGGGAATGTCAGGGGGTGCTGAACACAGATATTCCCCTTGCCCATCTCCTCCCCCTTCAGGAGACCCTGTTACACTTGACCGCTGTCACCCGTCGTTAGTGCCCCATTCCTCACACTCTCCCACCATTTGGTCTCTGTCAGCCTTTGCAGTCTTCAGAGTTCCCTAAACGCTGTTCGAATCCCTACCACCCACCGCTGCAGATCACTCGTACCTTCCGTGGCTGCTCACGGCCACCAGAAGCAAAGGCCACTTCCTTTGCCAAGCACGTGAGTGGGCGCAGCCTCTCTGGCCCTGTCACCCACGTCTCCTCCACCTGTGTCCTTTGTGCTGCCAATCCAAGTGCCTCTCTCCTTCCTCTGAGCCTTTGTTCATGCTGTTCCCTCTGTCCCGGCTTCCTCACCCTGAATGAACACCTACTGATCTTTCAGAACCCCTTTCAAAAGCTGACCCTCATGAAGCCACACCTCACTCCCTCCCCACGAAAGCTGCCGCTTGTGCTCTTTCTCGCCTGCCCCCTCCTCACCTTGCACTGTCCTCACCAGATTTTTTTTCTCTGTTTTGCATGAAAGTCCTTGAGGCCTCTCTTGTTTCCCCTCCACGGGATTCTGGCAGAGAGCCCCTCAGGGGCAGGGAATGCATCCCCTTTGCTGTCTCTCAAGTGGGGAGGAGGGCCCTTTCCGGTGGCTCAGGGACCTTTTGTGACCTGAAACAAGGAGACAGGCGAGGAGGTGGTTCCAGGACGGGCTGCCCTGCTGGCAGGGCTGGGTCTTTGCTGCCCTGCTGGAGCCTCATGAATGTCGTTACTCCCACTCTCAGGGCTACTCTAACACCGACAGAGCAGAAACACACACGGCCTGGCTTCCCCAGGGGCATCGCAGTCAGAGTCCCCGGGCAGCCTGTCTGGGCAGGAGGGGAGGCACAGCTGCTTGCAGCAGCTTTGGTGATCCCCACATCCTGGACTCCTCAAGAACAAGGGGACACAAGATCTAGGTCTCTGTGGTTAGGAAACAGGCGTGGAAAACTCAGGCTAGAAAAAAGTCATTCTAGGTTTTTCAGACTGTATCACCAATGCTGTAGGGAGTGTGAAATGTCAAACCCAGTCTCTTAGGATGATAAAAGAAAAAAGTTTGCTGCTGCATTGGCTGGGAATCGAACCCAGGCCTCCCGCGTGGCAGGCGAGAATTCTACCACTGAACCACCAGTGCTCCAGCTGTGAACAGCTGTGTGAGCACCTCCCTTTAACCCCAGTCGTCTTGTCTGTACACTGATTCACAGAATGGAAGGCCACATCAGCACAGCTGCAACGGCAGAGGCTTAGGCTTCAGAGCAGGAGAGAAGGCTGGAGGAGGCTGTGTGTGTGCGCGCACAAGCGCGCATGTGTGTATGTGTGTGCGTTACGTGTGTGCGTGAGAAGTTGATTTGCCTTCAGACGTCAGGACAGGAAGTAGAGTTCAAGTCGTTCCTTCTCAGTAGCAAAAAGCCCACTGAGACTCTGGGGACTTCCTCCTCTCTGAAGTGTGGGTCCTCCCATTCCACATTCACGTGGTGTGTTGAGCTGTTTTACAGCTCACAGGCTTCAGCACAGCTTCCTGCTGGAGACTGGCCAAGGCTGAGGGGGTGCAGCAGGAGTCCCCTTACCGGGGGAAGGGTCCCGCAGCCAGTGGTGCCTCTGTGGAGAAGCCAGCTGCTGTTCGTGCTCACGAAGCAGGGAAGTGCGCTCGGAGATTCGCAGCACCCTTGGCTGCTGCAGGCTGGGCGTGACTGAGGAGCTGGATCCTGCAGCAGGATCTCTGGGGGAGCTTGCCAGGAAGAGGCCAAAAAGCAGCACTGCATTGGCCGGGAATCGAACCCGGGCCTCCCGCGTGGCAGGCGAGAATTCTACCACTGAACCACCAATGCTCTGGCTGTTCTCTGGCACACCTGCAGGGCTTTTCTCAAGAGGCCGTGTCTGTCATGATAGTCAGAGAGCTCTGACACATCACTGGGCGTCGTCTGGCTGGTTTGTTCTGTCTGAGAATACCGCGGGTTTCTGTAGAGCCATCCGTGCTGTGCCTTATTACACTGCTTAGGGAGGGGGCGCTCATGGAACTGGCTTCCTCCCGAGGCCCTTGGTTCATCCACAGCCCTCAGCCCCCTGGGGTGGGCTTGGTGGAATCACACCCTATAAAGATCAAAGCAAGAGGGCCCTCACAGACCACCTGCATAGCCCCTTCCTGGAATCCCTGTTTCTGCTCCCACATCCGCCAGCTCAGGAGTCAGGCCTGTTTGATTCACCTGTGGCCACAGCCCCAGGCACAGAATAGATGCCCCCTACGACTTGCGGGATTGAATCTTTATCAAGCCCTGTAATCCCCATTGAACAGCCTTTTTACAGGAGTGGTCACAGCCTCACAGGACAGCACATTTAGTTAAACAACGCTAATTACTAGCAGGTTCCTGACACTGATCTGGAACCGCACAAACTAATTAATACCTTTTGGACTTGACTGTCCTTAAAATTCTTTGAGCCAGCTTGAGACCCCCATTTATGCCATAGGCGAGCAGTGTACCTGCTGTGATGGGCAGAGCAATTAGGCAATGAGTCCAGGCAACTACTTTGAAAAGTCTGTGATCTCTAGGCCTCCCTCGTCACACCTTCAGCTGCTGCATGGGTCCTAGTCCCTCCCACCTGATGATGGGACAGTCTCCCCCTTCCCACCCATCTCATGGCTTCTTAAAACACCCTTTGACCATCTCTTCAAAACCCGTAAACAGCTTCCCTGTTACCCACGATGTGAGATCCCTTCTCCTGAATCTGAGCTGCTTGGGCCAGCTCATCCCAGCTGATTTCCTGCTGTTCTCTGGACCCCAGGCAAATTTGGCTATTTTTCTCTCCTTGCCTTTGCCCACACATTTCCTCCTGCCCGGAACACCTGTTTCCTTCTCTCAGGGTCTCTGCCTCCTCCGAGGTCCAGCTCAGTTCCCACTCCTGGGAAGATGTCCCTGACCCCCAGGCCGCAGCTCCCAGTGGTTATCTGGGCCCCTCATGCCACCATTGGCCCTCATGAGGCTTCTCACTGCAGAGATGCTGTGAGCCTCCGAAGGGCAGAGTGTCTTCACGTCCACTGGGCTCTGAAAGGAGACCCTGGTGCCTGATGGAGCTGGGCCTCCCTGTGCTCACCTCCATTCGGGCAGGGCCTGCCTTGGGAGCATCCCCCCAGGGTGACCACAGGCGCTGCCTCCCTCAGACCCCCTCTCCCTGCTAGCATCACCCCCCAGGTGGGCACCGTGCAGGCGTCTCTACCCTTCCTGCCCTGTCCCCTCTCCCTGCTGCTTCCCACTGCTTCGGCCGTATTTCAGGCCCCCCTTCCTGACCCTGATAGCTGCGGTATTCTCCCTTGGAGATATTTCAGTCTCCCTCTGTCAAACCATGCCACCCCCACCCGAGGCAGCCTCTCTGGTCAAAACATAGACATAAATGTGTCACCCCATTGCTGGAAACCTTTCACCGGCTCGTCTTTTCCTTTTGTGTGTGTGTGTGTGTGTGTGTGTTACGCGAGCCTCTCACTGTTGTGGCCTCTCCCGTTGCGGAGCACAGGCTCCAGATGCGCAGGCCCAGCGGCCATGGCTCACGGGCCCAGCCACTCTGTGGCATGTGGGATCTTCCCGGACCGGGGCACGAACCCGTGTCGCCTGCATCGGCAGGCGGACTCTCAACCACTGCGCCACCAGGGAAGCCCTTGTCTTTTCCTTTAACTGTCCCCAGCCACCCCTTCCACACACCGGACTCCTCACCCTTCCCTAAATACACCATGTCTTTTCGGGGCCCCCGCCTTTAGCCAGGCTCTTCCCTGTGCCTGAGGTTCCCTGCCTTCCTTTCTTTACCTGGAAAAGGCTTACTGTAATGGCTCTAAGATCTGACTCAGATGGCACCTCCCCGTCAGCCCAGGGAGACTTAACCTGCGGCGTTCTTGCTTCTGTGGTGTTGCTTGTGTCATGTTGCTACACATCCTTGTTTGTTTGTGGATCCCCAGAAACAATGACACAGACACAGAGAACCACTTGGGTGCATGAGCTGCTTGCAACACTGAGCAAGTATTGAATGAAGACGGTGGATCACTACAGTTTTGGGGCCCCAGCAGGACATTCACTTGCATTCTCTCAGATTCCCAGAAGTGACACTGTTCCCCACTGTTCTTCATTCCGTCATAGACAAAGGGAAGTGGAGACCCAGAAAAGGGAAAGGACCATGACCCAGCCAACGCCTCCCAGTCAGCAGCAGAACTGGGAAAGCCCTGCCCCGAGATGCCTGACTCCCAATTCCTCTTTCTAAACAGGTCATCTCCCTCCCTCACCCCAGCGCCGGCCCCAGAGCCGGCAGTAGCAGGAGCAGCCTGATCCCGCTGGTCCTGCAGCCCCTCTCTGCTCCCTCTCCAGGCTGGTCCGGGAGTTCGTGGCCCAGAACAACACCGTGCAGATCAAGCATGTGATCCAGACGCTGTCTCAGGAGTTTGCCCTGTCCCAGCACCCGCACAGCCGGAAAGGGGGCCTCATTGGCCTGGCCGCCTGCTCGATCGCGCTGGGCAAGGTGAGCCCTTCTCCTGGAGGGACGTACACACTAGCCAAGGCCTTGACCCTGACCCCTGAGCCCCAGCAGGGTGTTGCAGACTTGTGATTTCTTTATTGCCATTCTCTCCACATCTCAGACCTCAAGGCTGGCTCTGCGGCCTTGCACCCAGGGTCCTGGGCGTGATCCTTATCCCAGGAAGCTGACTTGCAAAGGGTCTTTCAGCCCAGCCCTCACTCGAGGGCCTGAGCGTCTCCAAGGGAGCTGAGGGCTGGGTCCCCGAGGTCTGACCCATTCTGAGCTGCTTCTGCTCCTACTCCATCGCAGGACTCGGGGCTCTACCTGAAGGAGTTGATTGAGCCGGTGCTGACCTGCTTCAATGATGCTGACAGCAGGCTGCGCTACTACGCGTGTGAGGCCCTCTACAACATCGTCAAGGTGGCCCGAGGCGCTGTGCTGCCCCACTTCAACGTGCTCTTTGACGGGCTGAGCAAGGTGACCGCTCCTCACTCGACTGGGCTGAGCTCACCCAACACACCTGACTTGACCTTTCGGGACCTTGAGTGCTGGCCTCCCTTTTCCCAGATGCAAGGGGAGCAGATAAGCACATACTGCCAGGGGTGCTTGTTGTCTGTTCAATCTAATGATATATTTTTAGATGGGCTTGTAAATATTTATGTTTGTTTTTCCCCCACACCTCTATTAATTTATCTTTAGTGCATTTTACAAAAGCATCAGTCCACCACAAATTGGAGGGGAAAAAAACAGTCATTTGAGAGCACTGACCTCCCTTATAGAAGGTGAAGGTGGTGATTTCATAGTACAGACTGTATTTCCCCTGCAAGGAGAGCGTAGCCCATAAGCTCTAGAAAAAGCTCTGCTTAGAAAGGCTTTGGGTTCCCTGATAGCTTATCGGCATCTCTCTCATCGTCATGGAGTTCTCCTCCCTGAAGTCGTTTCTAGAGGATTAGCCTCACAGCTGATCCGTCCCCTCCTCCAGGAGTGGAGAGAGGACCCAGCATTGTAAGATTGGAAAGCCCTGAGGAAGGCCAACGGGAAGCAACCACCTGACTGGTGGCAGCAGGTCCCAGCGGTCCCTGAGCAGAACGGGGGTCTGCCACATCTCGGCAGCATTGCCAAGTTCTGCTTTACCCCCTTGCCTCCCCTGCCTGTCTTGCATCTGTGCACTGAGAGAGGTGCCTATGTGATGTTCAGCCTGCCCCAAGGCCTTTGCTGTTGGACTTCAGTGGATTCCTTGTCTTATATATTGACAGTGACCCTCTCTCCACCTCTGTCTCTCTCATAGTTGGCTGCTGACCCAGACCCCAATGTGAAGAGCGGCTCTGAGCTCCTAGACCGCCTCTTAAAGGTACTTGTACTTGGTCCCCACTCTTATTTTTAGCAGCTGTTTCCTCCATCTGTCTGTACAGCTTATAAATTCTATCATTGGGATGCTCTTCGTAATTAAAAAAATTTTTTTTCATTTACATGCAGTTAATGGAATAGTGTACAGCTCTATGATGAGAGTATAGAGTTATGTCAACAGCAGGATCAAAATACAGAACCATTCTGTCCCCCTAATGTCCCCTCATGCTGACCCCACCCTGCCCCCAGTGACAGGGGCAGTTTATGCTCAGCTCACCAGGGCATTCGAGCCAGACCACAGAGATGCAGGGTTTTGCCTTTTGATTAGTTCTCTCGACCTTGATTCCTGCTTTCAGTGCATCCTTTCTGCTGGTCCTTCGGCCTGTGTGAGGAGGGATGCTCCGGGGGCCTCTCCTGCCTGACTCAGGCTCCGTCATCTTCCTCTGTGTCCGCCTGACCCCTGGAGCCAGCCCGGGCCGGGGATTCAGCCAGGTCAGGCAGCCCCCGCCCCCAGCAGGCAGCTCTCATGCCTTTGACCCACAGGACATTGTGACGGAGAGCAACAAGTTCGACCTGGTGGGCTTCATCCCCTTGTTGCGGGAGAGGATTTATTCCAACAACCAGTATGCCCGGCAGTTCATCATCTCCTGGGTAAGGTCCGGCCCCGCGACACTCCTTCTCCAGCTGTAAGGAGCCTCTAGTTGAGTGAGGTCTGCTCTCTGGCTCACCTGGGCACTTTCTGTGGCTGCCGGGATGCCTCACTGTTATCCCTCTAGGAGCCAATGACACCAGATAATCCGAAAACACATGTATTCAGCTTTGCCCCCAAAGCCCATCACGTTTGCCTCTGAAGAGGATGTGGTTCCTTCCTTGTCTCCGGAAACACCCAGATTTACCTTTGAAGCCAGCTGTGCTCCTCCAGCTGTCACACCTCTTCTAGCCTTGCCCACCTTTCCCATGGGTTCCCTCCCGCACCCCCCGCCCCGCCCCCGGGCATCTGAACTGCCCTGGGGTTAAATTGCCGTTTCCCTGCCCATTGAACAGAAACAACAGCTACTAGCACCCGCTCCCCCGTGGGACACCCGCAGTGCCGTGAAAAGGTGCCTCAGCAGGGCCCCTTCTTGCTGGGCAGTCCGGAGGGTGGGCGAGGAGATGCAGGTTCTCTGGCTGGTGACTTTCCCTGATGGTTTCCTCCCCTGGGGCAGATCCTGGTTCTGGAGTCCGTGCCAGACATTAACCTGCTGGATTATTTGCCGGAGATCCTGGATGGACTCTTCCAGATCCTGGGCGACAACGGCAAAGAGATTCGGAAAATGTGAGTGGAGGAGGAGAGGGGCAGGCGGCTGCAGGGGCCCCTCGGCATGTACGCGTACCCCACACCCAACAGACAGGCGGCGGCAGGAGAGCACGAAATTCACCGTCCTCTTCCTGGCTCGTGTGCTTCCTGCTTTGAGGAGCTAGGAGATCATCCACCCCCAGCCTCGGAAAAATGTCCATCTGACAAGTGTGTCCCACAGAGCACAGCAGAAATGGCACCACTGGTGGAGGCTCCTCTGGCTCTGGCTGCATGAGCTGTCTCCTTTCTCCTTTGCTCATTGGTAGGTGTGAGGTGGTCCTTGGAGAATTCTTGAAGGAAATTAAAAAGAACCCCTCCAGTGTTAAGTTTGCTGAGATGGCCAACATCCTGGTGATCCACTGCCAGACCACGGGTGAGTGTGCAAAGGCCCCAAGGCCACCACCACCT